ACGGTTTCGTTTTTTTCTCTGGGTCCGCTTATTTTCGCTTTATACATAGTAGATTGTACCGGTTTGAACAAAAATGGGCGAACCAGAACAACGAGGGTGCTTTTTTCACGTTCTGACGGTGGGAATGAAAAGGCCATTTATAAAGTATTTCATAGTAGATGGATGTTAGTTATCCATAGTTTTTAGGGATCCGTTTGTTTTAGCTTTGAATTTATTGGCCAAGACGCTTTTCGTCTAGTTTCTCTGAATTTTGATGGATTTAACTCAGGTTAAACTCGAAAAAAGTCGGTTTTTGGGGCGTCGGTGGCCGCAACGGTTTAGGCGTAAGGTAAAGGTACCGGGTTCGAATCCAGCGGTTCTGCATTCGAACCCGACATACTTACAAATGGACTTTTTTCCAAAAACACCCCCTGACGGTTGATATGACCTCTGCTGTGGCAAACCATCGTAAAAAAGTAGGTTTTTCTGGGTCCGCTTATTTTCGCTTCTCCTCAAGGCCAGGGGAATTATTTAAAAATAATTAAATTTCTTTAAAAATCAAATTCGTTGTGGAAAAACTATCTTTTTCATTTTGGTCTTGATGAGCTTATTGTAGCTGTATGCGATGATAGTCGAACCAGAACGAACAGGGTCAAATTGTTCGAATCTTCGCCGAGTTTACAACACTACAAAAATTTAAATCTTCAGATATATATTCGTATTTCGTAGAATATAGTTTCCTGGGTCCGATTGTTTTCACAACTTTCCCTTGGGTTCGTAATGCGTTTCTTCTTTACGCTTTTTCTTAATTTTAGAACGTATGCTTTTCAATTTGAATTTTTTGTTATTTCATCTCAAATAATCAGAACTATATTGAACTTGTAAATATTTTACAAATAATCTTTATTATTTAGATAGTTTATATATCTTATTTTTCAAGATGTAAACACAATTCTTTTAATACAATATTGATAAAAATAGGATCGAAGTAATTTTCTCCGTTTCAATTGATGCCCAAACCTAACGGCTTTCATATTATTTTCATGTTTTCGTGTAAACATCCCTTTCCCTTTGGAATTAATCCAATCCATCAGATTACAAGTGCTGTCGTATCATTTATACCGCCGAGATAGATTATCTTCTTTGCTGGATATCAGACAGGTGGTGCGTGATATTTCAATAATCCCTGTTATCTATTTTTCAATGTGAGAAAATAGATTGTAGAATGAATCAACTTGAAATTTTTAGATATATATATTTTTCCTTAAATGAATCATAACAGCTATGAGTAGTTGAATTAATCAAAATTCGTTCTATTGACACCGTATAAACACCGTTTCGGATTTGTGTTTTATCCGCAACTGGCAAGGTAGTTATATGTCGAATATTTGAATTTATTGTATAAATATTGTTATTTTCATTTGAGTTTTATTAGGCTTCGCTGTCACGGTTTTAGTGAAATTGATCGTTTGATCGATCAGGAGTTCGACCGTGGGTATATTATAACGAATGGGTTTTAAACAACTCGTATCCTTTCTCGTTTGCGTTCGATAATTGTCTATCGTCTCTGGTTTTCTTCTATCTGCTTTGTACCTCTGACGAATTTCGCCTTCGGCCGCCCGTCAATTGAACCTCGCACATGAAAACCGACAAAGGATGTCGTTTTTTTCCACCATCTCTCATTCATTCTCTCATTGTCATCCCTCTTTGGAATCTTTCTCCAGTACAAAACGTTTCATTAGTGATGACATGGACAAAAACTAAAGTCGTGTACGTATCTCAAAGCCGTCGGTTTCATAAAATAGAAATTATCCTACGATTTTCTAGGTTGCACCCTTATCTGAATATTGTATGTTTTAAACACGGTACCTATAATTGGACAATCAGACCGGGTACCAAATCGATCAATGGGCAGACATTTCAAATATGGGTCGAGTCGTGATTCGTTTAAATCTGGTACCTTTCTGTATACCTCTTCAATTGAGTGCTTTTTGGAGTCGAAGTTGTGCAATTCCGGCCTGATTTTCATTTGACTGCATATATCAAAAAAGCAGAGGCAACATTTGATTAATACTTCGTAACAAAGAAATCAGAATGAACTTTAGAACTCGTGGGAGACAAGAGTCCAGAAAGCTTGAAATGCAGATTTTATTTTTTATTATTTTTTTATGTTATTTTATTTTTTGTGGAAGACGTGAACGAATCCTAGTTAATAATTTTTATTATTTATAATCTTTTTAATTAATTTTCGACTAAAATATGGTTTATATTACGTTCAACGACGTATATTTGTATTTATTGTTTTAGTTTTTTGTTTTACTCTATTATTATTTTAATAAAAGGAAAAATTATAAATATAAGGCAATGTTAGGGATACAGAATTTATTCGTTACAATTATTTCTATTTAAAATTGGTTGTGTAGTTTATCCCTTCGTCCTTTGACAAGAGGCATAATTGGAAATAATTTCCTCGATGGGGGAAACTAAGAAAACTCACCCCCCATCTTTATTTTAAAAAAAACTTTTTAATCTATTTCAATTAATTAATCTTTTTATGAAAGGTTTTGGTTGAAATGAAGTTAATGTCACGAGCGGGATTCGAACCCACGACCTGTTTTAACCACTTGAGCTATCGTGACTTCCACTCGGACACCAACTCCCATCTCCACCTACAACCTTTCGAATTTTCCCTCCTTTTTGCCATTTTTCAACGGGTTCGAATCCCGCTCGTGACACTAACTATTTCATTTCAACCAAAACTTGACATAAAAAAGAAGTGAACGAATCCCAGTTAATATATTGTTTATTATTTAATTTTTTAATATTATTTTTATTGAGATTAGGTTGAAATTTGAATGATTTAAGGTTTTTGTAAACCCCAAAAATTTTATTTTTGGCTAAAATATGGTTTATATTAAGTTCAACGACGTATATTTGTATTTATTGTTTTAGTTTTTTTGTTTCAATCTGAATATCAAGAAATAATTTTTTGTTTAATAATTTTGCTTTAAATTTGTACCAATTTTATGTCAATTTCATTCCGATTTTGTTTTAATTTTATTCAGGTGCCATTTTTATTAGAGCTTTAGGGTATTTTTTATGAAAAAATAAAATACAATTATAATAATAACAATTATTTTAATAAAAGGAAACTGTAAATAAAAGGCACTGTAAGGGATACAGAATTTATTCGTTTCAATTATTTCTTTTTAAAATTACATTTACACTTTTTTTTTAATGTAATCTTCGAAATTAAAATTGACACACAAAAAAAGAAAACCTACTCTCCTTGAACCAATATAAAAAAACTTACAATACAACAAACAAGAATTTAAACTATCATTAAAAATAAATTAATTAAAATTTATGTATGCTCAATCCCAAAGGAATGAAATTAAGGAAATATGGAAATGGGAAAATTCACACGATGAATGATCTTTTCTTGATGTTCTCCGACCAGATGATTCTTCACAAGCAAAGTTGAAGTAGGCAAGTTCCAAGTGGTTTGTTCGCAGTTGCGAGGTGGAATGTCTCTGTTATTCTGACTTTCTGGATTCTTCCAAAGTTAATTTTGATTTGTTTGTTACAACCTATTCAATATTTGTTTTGTTCTAACCAAAATCGGTGACGTTTGGCGTAAAACGTAATTCATAACCGAAATTGAATACCTGGTATCTCTTCTTGTTTGTTCGTTCTTTTGCAATATCCATGATGCTAGGAGGTAGAGCGAGAATAGGAGGACCTGGTTGACAAATGCCCAGTTTTGGCAGGCCACCCGTCAAAAACTCAACAACCGTGTAACTACTGTACAATTACGTAAAATCTCTAATGACAGGGCAGACTTCGACGAGCTATTACATCCTCCTGGTCGCCTTGGTACAACTTAACCTACATGAAAGTTTTGAATGCTTTTGTTTTGTTTTTAATGGAACAACTTTTTTTCTGATATATTGGTATATTATATATAGAATTTTTTCACGAGTCCAATTTTCATCCTGTCATCGTTCATCTCAAAGACATTTTTTACAGAATCTGAAAGGAAATTGGAAAAAGTATACTTTTTTTCTTGTCCCTCACGAAGTGAAATTTAAATCATTTTAACGCTGAGGTTGAAAATGGGTTTTCCACTTTCTTGCGATATACAGGACAAGCTGAAAACTCACGTTTATTGTTCGATTTCTAACTGGGTTTGTGGGTTATCTTAAACCTCCTTGAAATGGGTTCAATTTTTTGGATTCTCGCGGGTGCTATACTTTCATTTTGTAACCAAAAACATCGCCCCTTGGCCTAAAAACCGCCTAAAGTTGAAACAGATGCGATACAGCAACAATCGGACACGATGGGTAGCCTGCGGGAGCGCCAGATGCAAGAGAACGGGTTTCACGTGCTATTCTTAGCAATTTGGGGTCAACGTAACCAAAATTTAACTAATTATAAATAGCTGTTACTGATATTTATATAATTTTTTGTTTAAAAGTGCGTTATTTTATATTTTGTAAATAAGAATATTCGTAGGACGTATAACAACTTGAATCTTCTTTAGTACATATTGTAGTTTCCATCGTTGTTTTAGTTGTAATGAAAGTGATCATGACACGGTGTCATCATTTCAAGTTTCTAATTGTCACTACAGAAGTGTCAGTTGAACCGTCCTTGTCTCGTTAAAGTGAAAAGGTCGTTCATCGGGCGGATTTAATTTGTGGCAATGGCAAGAATTTTAACCAGTTTCTCTCCACCGGGCGGACCCATAAATGAAGAGACTTTCAAATCGTCAGTAATGAGCCGATAAGTGGATTGGAGCCGTGTACTATCGCCTCTGTGACCCCGTTTCTATTTTTATTGTGAAAATGTGCCGATGGACGGGTAATGAGAAGAGAAGTTCATTGGGGAACGATATGGGCCGAAAGTGGGTCTAGGTCTATTTTAACGTATACTTAACACCGGCAGCGACCCCGCTGGAAGGTCCGCTACACAGATTCATTTGACTCATTTTCATATTTCTCCCTCTTTTTTTGTTTCAGGATTTACTCAAGAAGAACAATCGATGAATTAGTCCGTTCGGCCGCCAACTGTGCCAGGAGAAAAGATGTAAGTCCTAAAAACCATGAAAATCATCCAGAATGTATACTTTTAAAATGCTTTAAGTACGAAAGAGTCCGTAGATGGTTTTAACCAGACGCATAAATCTCTGACCAGTTCAATATGGCACTCATGGAGCTGAAAAAAAGTGCTGGACTGACAGCGAGAAGAAAAGTTCCATCATTCGTCATTATTCTATCACTGTACTGCACTATTTTCTACAATTATGTTCCCAGTTAGATTTTATGTTTTATTCAATCTTTTTAAAAAGATAGTTCCTACTCACAGTAAGTTGTTTTCAACGATCCGGATTTCGAGCCTACAGCTCATCTTCAGGTTGTAGACCTCCTTCAACCTGATGATGAGCGGTAGGCTCGAAATCCGGACGTTGAAAACAACTTATTGTGAGTAGGACCTACCTTTTTAAAAAGATATCGATTAATAGTCAATGAAGGACTAATTCAATGGATAACGAGACTAATGGACCATCGTTCATAAATACGTTCATTCATCTTTGAATGCCGCAAATACGGTCGCACTATCTATAAAAAATTACTGATGTTAAAATTAAGTTGAGCGAGGATTGTCAAACAAAAAGAACTAACAGAATTTCCTTAGTGAACTCTTTTATTTTGCAATCATGATCCCAGCGATACCGGCAAAAAAATGGATATTATACTACTTGTAGCACTTAAGTGTCTCTATTATATGGGCAGAATTATGGATCAGCAGTAGTTCAGAGACAAAAACGCCTTAAAAGCGAGACTTAACGGACCGTTATCCGTGTACGCTTCCATTAATCTTTGGTTCTGCCGTGTTTTCCTCCAATGGTCCTATTTGAGTTTCTTTTTGAAACTTTACTGTGAAATATCAAAATATTGGTAGTGACTTATAATACTGTAGCTTGTCGACTGGAAAAATATTTAAAAAGTATTGATATTCATGATTGTTCGGAGATCGTGAGAGGCGGTCTGGTGTGACGTAGGTTTTAGAAAAACATTTTCTTTATCGTGCCAACGTTTCGATCTTTATTGAGATCATCTTCAGGGCCTGGGATTTATAAACATTGTTTAAATTTTACAAATACATGTAGGATGTGAAAAAAAGGAATTTATACAATCCTAGAAATTTTCGATTCAATCAAAGTATTTGTACTCACTGTGAGTGAAAAAAACGAATTTATACAATGCTAGAAAATTTGAGATTGAAAAAAAAGAATTTATACAATGCTCGAAAATTTTAGATTAAAAAAAAGAATTTATACGATGCTAGAAAATTTTAGATTAAAAAAATGCATTTATACATTGCTAGAGAATTTTAGATTAAAAAAATGAATTTATACAATGCTAGAAAATTTGAGATTAAAAAAAATTAATTTACACAATGCTAAAAAATTTTAGATTAAAAAAAAAGAATTTATACAATGATAGAAAATTTTAGATTCAATCAAAGTATGAGTGAGTACAAAACTATAAATACTTTGATTGAATGTAAAATTTTCTAGCGTTGTAGAAATGCATTTTTTTATCTAAAATTTTCTAGCATTGTATAAATTCATTTTTTTTAATCTAAAATTTTCTAACATTGTATAAATTCATTTTTTTCACATCCTACGTGTATTTGGAAAATTTAAACAATGTTTATAAATCCCAGGCTCTGAAGATGATCTAAATCAAGATCGAAACGTTGGCACGATATAGAAAATGTTTTTCTAAAACCTACGTCATACCAGACCATCTCACGATCTCCGAATAATCATTAACTATAACAGTCATTAAACACCACACGTATTGATTTTCGTAAAAATATCTGTAAATCAGCGAGACCAGAAGGACCGAAACAAATCCATCAATACTGTCAAAATTTATTTACAACTGTACTGAATCATTTTCTACAATTATAATCCAAAAATTTGGATTGTTCATCTTAAGATTATGATTAATTTGAGAAAAGATTATTAATTTATAAACTGAATGTGTAGAAGAGCCAAAGAACGTCAGAAAGCTTGAATAGAAGTCTCGCCCACATTCTCACATTCAGTTATCTATGGATTGCATTTTTATGTAAGATTTCCGATTTTGGCAAACGTTTCACCAGAGAAGGCAATTTTGGGATAAATTGTATATTGTCATTAAATTTTATTATAAATTTTATTTTTCACATTGACTATTCAACATCTAAGGGAATTTGAAGGAACCTGGAACATAAAAAATATGGCAATATTATTGATTTCAGTTTTGACGAAAATAGATATTGTAAAACCCCAAACCCTTGTGTTAATTATGTCATAAAAATCTAATATAAAAACGTTTTAATATACAGAAATTAAAATAAATTATTATTTTCCTACTTAATTAATCCTAACATTTTAAACTATTTTTATTTTGATGATCTATAATTAGCTATTAAGCTTATTTATTTTTAAAAAATGGCCAACTTATTCTACTCTAGGTTCTTTTTTTAGTACAGTTATGTCCTCGTAGCTTGACTCAAGTGCAGTACTAAATAGTCTTTCTTGGTAATCTGAGCTTTAAACATTTATTTTATTGCCGGAACGTTTAGGATTAGATTGATTTCCTTTATAAATAAAAGGGCAAATCCATAAAACTCGTTAAGAGTTTATTCTTACTATTGACCTGCTTAACACAATTCTCTTAAATATGTCGACATCAATTTATTTTTTAAAATGCCTTTTAACTATAAAAGTATTTTATCGTTATTATACATTCGTATGATTGAAATTTCATCATAGACCTGTTTATTACCGTAATAATAAAATATTGTTTTATGGTGATAGAAGGGATCGAACTTTTCTCAATAGTTTCAATTGAGACATCATATATATGCAGTCATCATCACATTTGTTATTTGACATGAAAACATTTCGGTTTTTCAACCTTTTCTTTAGATATCCTAAAACTGACGTTCAAACGGTTTCAAATTAGGCTACTTGCTAAAAGGAGTGAGATTCCATTAAAAACGAGTGAAAGCTAAGTTCAGAGTGGAAAGTCGATTTCTGTGAATCCGTAATACTCTGTATAACGGCGGAAAAACGTAGTGTTCTAATTAGGGAATTGTTTGGAAATCTGTGGATCAGAGGTTTGACAGAGCCAGCTAAAGAAAAAAAAAATAGAGAATGAGGAAGTGACAGCGGGAAAAATATAGAAAGAGAAAGATGAAGATCCTTAGATGTGCTATGTAATAGTCGTAAATATGATATTACGTCGAACTTATATAAATCTTTGTAAATTGTTCAAGGGTTTATTTAACTTCAAAACGTCAGTTTGAAAATCCTAAAATTCTCGAATAACACCGGATTAGAAAATTTCGTGATAAACGATCTTTTAAGCAAAAAGCTTGGATGTTTTTTAACCCGTTGGATAATATTATCCAGAAGTCCAATATGGGTGAAGGAGCGCCCCTGAACTGCTGGGGGACGTTGCGCTGTAAGTTAAGGCTGACTAGTCCCGAGTATAGAAACAGTTTCAACGGTCAACGCAAAAGAAACGCTTTCCAAATGGAAGTGAGAGGCTCGAAAGCAGAGGATCCACTTCGTAGAAGAGAATGTATATTGATATTATCGTTTGAACGACTTTCTTCCGATGGGCCGTTTCCCCGTACTTCCCTCCGAAGGATTGGTTGTATAGTTAACCCTTTGTCCTTTGACAAGAGGCATAATCGGAAATAATTTCCTGGAGGGGTGAAAATAAGAAAACACTTCTCCCCATCTTTATTAAAAAAACAAAATTAATTTCAATATATTTCAATTAATTAATCTTTTTATGTAAGTCCATTAGATTTCGTGGTCCGATTGAACAAATAACATCTTTCAATTAATTAATCGTATTTAGCCGAAGCTCGTGGGTTGGAATCCCGCTTGTGACCCTGACTTTTTTATCACAACCAATACCTTACACAAAGATTAATTAATTGAAAGTTTGTATATAAGATTTTGGCTGAAATGAAAAAGATAGTGTAACGAGCGGGATTCGAACCCACGACCTGTTCTAAACACTTGAGCTATCCTGACTTCGATCCACTAGGACACCAACTCCCCGTCTCAACCTACAACCTTTCGAATTTTCCCTCCTTTTTGCAATTTTTCAACGGGTTAGAATCTCGCTCGTGACACACTAACTATTTCATTTTCAACTTTTTCATTTCAACCAAAATCTTACATAAAAAAGATTAATTAATTGAAAGAAGTAATTTGGTCAATAGACCACGAAATATAAAGGGTTTAATAAGTAAAACGAAGTATAACTTCACTAACATCTCCCCGTGGCCACTTCATATGTCGCCGAGAATCGAATCTGGTTACACATTTGAAAAATGGCAAAAAGAGAGAAAATTCGAAAGGTTGTACATCGAGATGGGGAGCTGGTGTCCGGGCGTATTTAGCCGAAGCTCGTGGGTTCGAATCCCGCTCGTGGCGCTCTCTTTTTCATTTCAACCGAAACCTTACACAAGAAGATTAATTAATTGGTTAGGGATGTCAAATGTTGTTAATTAATTAAAGAAGTAATTTGGCAATAGACCACTAAATTTAACCGATTTTCAATCTATATTTGCATTTCTCTTTAAATATGAGATTTCAACGCAACGATAAACTGTTTCGGCGAATAAAAAAGCGCGATTTTTTTTCAAAACGAAATTTGACTATCTTAAAACAAAAATTTTTCTCTATATAATTACTTGCAATTAATTAATTGCACTTTATCCTGCTGTACAGAGATTTTATTGTCGATAAATTGTTCTTATTAGCTTAATTGTATATTGGTTAACAGTTGCGTTTGATCGTAGTGTTCGAATGCTCTGTTTAACTCCTAAGTTACTTAAGTAACTTTTAACAGCAGTTTTATGGTAGTGGATCATGTCCGTCTCTCTATTCTAGCTGTTATCCCTGATCCGGCGGGATGTTGTTCTGAGTTAACTGCTTAGTAACCGATGAACTTCTAACAGCCGGTTTAATGCCGGTATATCGTCCGTTGTTCTATTTATTCCAGCTG